AATTGTTAAATTTGATTGGGTAATTTAGATGATCTTCAGCACGTGATCGGACATTTTTCGCCATGGCTAGGGTACTCTGATGTACCATGGTGAAGTCACGGGACAGACTATCCAATCAGATGCAAAAGAGATATACCACCTGTAAACCATACTCTACGTTGTACATTGTACAAACTCCGTTCCTGGTGTAAGTATAATAATATTTATCAAGTCTCGGAGAATTTATCAAATTTAGTTAAAACAGGTACCTAAAGATCGGGACTGATTTTATTCTTTTATGGTGAAATGGGTTTGGTTGGTTTAAAATAATAAAAACGGGTTCCGAAGCGTATAGTGATTAGATCCAAGTAGCTGGCTCCCAATTTAAATTTAGTTACTGGATTTGTATCAATAAATCCATGAATGAAATATTCAGATAATGATAATGTCTAATTTAATGATTTATCTTACTGAATATATCGTTTTATTCGTTGAATGCTAATATCAATGTATTCATTCATGTTTTCTGGCTTTTTATTTTTTTTAGATATTTATTGAAGAATGATGCTTACTTTAAGATACTGGCAATTATTATACCATTACGATTTATGTTGTTATGATTTATGGAAATCAAGAGAAGGAAAAATTAACGTATGGATAATTTAGGGGGATTTTTTTGGTGTAATAGTAGTTTTTTTATTACAGCATATTATATACGAGTAAATACCCTAACGAACGTTAATTCTAACCAATCCAAATATTTTGTTTGTCAATACAGTCTGTAAGTGATCCAAAAAATCATGAGCCAGGATCGGTCCTAAAAAAGCTCATGCTGGTTGACCGAGCTGACCTTTTTGATAACATAAGGTTTTCTGATCAGAATCAGTTAACATATCTATATTAAACGTGCAAAAAGCAGTTTCTTTTCAAATGATGTTAAATTATTTAATTTTTATTCGATTTGTCCTTAAGAAAAATTTGAACAGATAACTAATTACTGAAGTGAATATATATACTTTGATCAATAAATTACAAATGTTTATAACAAAAATGTCAAAGCAATGTTAATCAGTATATCTAATAAGTGGTATATTATAGTTACAATGATAAAAATCAATGGGCTTTAATTTAGTACAGTATACAAATGTACTTTTTCAAGCCGTTAATATAAATATAAATGCATAAATGTTTATTCAGAAGTACGCAAGAAAAATTGCGTCAAACTAAATCAAATCTGATACTTAATGCACTAGTGCAATCGATACACTGCAATCATTTCTAAATCCTTTAAGCGCTAGTTATATCACCAAAAAATTAAAGGATAAAAAGGGTGATATAACCCAGATATGACTGTAATGGCACCTCAAGTACGCCCATAGGCGCTATTGAAAAAATAAATCAATTTTTCTAATTGACATAATAAACAAATTTCTACAGTAATAATGTGTGAACTTTTATTATATAAGTCAATCTTCGTGATTGGCTGATTGATAATAAAAATTTTCTGCATGTATATAATAGCCAACGATTCTTCATGGTTATAATATTAAAAAAACAACTTATGTTTCTACAATGAACATTAAAACGTTGATAATCAAATTGTGTTCATTGAGAGCAGAATAATTTAAAATTTGGAATTTTAACCATTACGTAAAAATAAAAAGGGAATAATAGAATAAAAATTTGATTTAATAAATTTAAGAAACTCAGTAAACTAAGCTCAATTAACTCGAGGACTAATTCTAACTTTCAACTCTTGAACATTGTTAGCCCCTGAGGATGCAATTTTTAACGGCTCATCCATATTCACTAATTCAACGTTATAATATCTGTAAATTATTACCATTGTTAAAAGTAACTCACTCATCGCCAGCTTCCTTCCAGGACAGATTCGTGGTCCCCCGCCAAAAATTAACAAGGAATATTTATTTTCCAATGTTTCATCGTCTTGATCAACATTATAAAATCTATCTGGATCGAAAACTTCAGGATTAGGCCAGACTTCACGGTGGCCATGTACCCCTGTAATATTTATATGAAAAGTTGTACCAGCAGCCCATTTGTATCCAGCAACTTCACACTCTTCATTCATGTAACGAGTTACAAAATTTGCTGCCGGTATCATACGGTTAACTTCTTTAATTATGGCTTCACAATATTTTAGCTTTAGGAGATCACCACTTGTCAGATAAGATTTATTAGAATATTTAGAGAAGACAGAATCAATTTCTGAAATCATTTTTTGTTTTACATTTGGATGTTTACAAAGATAGTAGGTTACAGAACAAAATAAGTTGGCAGTCTAAATATGGATAAACATTAATGAAATAAGCGTAAGTAAAATTTTAAATATATAAATAGATAAGGGGAATGTTACTTACACTATCTGTTCCAGCGATGAATGCATCTACCAAATTACTTCGGATATCTTGGTCGGTCATAGGTTCAAATGTTTCACCGCCTACTGTTTTTATTTTAGCAGTATCCTTTTCAGTGTTTGCAATGATCAAGGAAGTTAGCATATCTGATCTCATTTCTGTACCCACTGGCATTTCTTCAATCTCTTCTCTTCTCTTTTTGATTATGAGATCCAATTTATCAAATATATAATCACGATTTTTTAAGTAAGAATTGGCTACATCTCTGATTATTGGGATATAATGTCTTAAGAATGGGCCAATCAACGTGAAAAACCTGACACCTTGGATATGTTTTATTAATGCTTTGACGAATTTATTCCCATCTTCGACTAATGCATTAGGATGTACTGACTTGACAGTACTTTGTATGTTATAGTAGGAGGCAATTGAATATGTACGTTCACCGGTGACTAATATTGAAATTATATCATTCGCAAACGCATGAAACCATTCAGAAAAATCTGTTTCTAAAGTCCAATTATCATTATTTTTATTATTTGAACCATTTTGCATTCCAAGATATTGCCAATATTCTCTCAATTCCTCAAACAATTTATTAGTAGAGTTTACAGCATCATCCATAAATCTAGGTGACAATAAAGCCTGTGTAAAAAATTGTCGGTTATACCTCCAACTCTTATAAACATTGTTTCCTACAATCCCACATCCTTGAAATCCAATTTCTTTTAATCCTTGAGAATATGGAAATCTCATTATACATGTTGAAGACATAAGTTTTTCAATATATTCTGGTCGTGTGAGAATTATACATCTACGCCCATCAAACATTATTTCACAGATATCCCCATATTTTAATCGACATTCATCATAAAACAATCTTAAATCGTAAGCAATGCTGTGAAGGTTTCCGATGATTGGTAAAGGCAATGGTCCAGGGAGTGGATTTGGGCGAGTTAAGTATTTATAATAAAACTTAAAAACATAGGTAGCAAGAATTAAAGCAAAAAGGGTGAGATAATCTGTAATACTAAGAACTTCAATAATTTTTTGAATTGCCATTTCGATTTATATTCATTGAGAGACAGAAAAAATTCAAAATTAAACTTTCTTTGTATGCCAATTTTTTGCTTAATAGTCTGTTTTATTTAACCTCTAATTGTTAACCACAAATATTTACAAAAATTTGTCATATAATAATGAAGTTTCGTGTCACATTTTATGAATTAATAATTATTTTTATTTAAGATTATTCATGAATAATTGAGATTGCAACAAGTAACGTACATGATTAAATGGGTATATAGTAAGTTAGGGTAGCTGCGCAACGTAGTCTAAGGACGTAGTATGATTGCTAGACTTGTATTAGGGCACAAAATTTCTTCTCCGGCGGTGTTTATTTTAACCGGAACTTAGAAAACTCAGCCAGATGTACAGTAGCAGTTTTTTTAATAAAGATACTGTAATATTTAATGATATTTATATACATACTTATATATTGTTGGGTTCGGAAGATTGCGACTCGGTCGCTCCAAAACTCTAAACCTCGTGTAACGTACAAGTAACCTTTCCGAAAGAGGGTGTTAGATTTGGCGTGTGGGCGAGAAAGGCTTTCGGTTACTTTGGGTCAACAGATGCAGGTAGAGTCAGTCACGTGGTCACGGGTTTGAACAGCGTCGTTTACAGGAGTTTACAGGGTTTCGTAACGGTAAGGGTATTAGTGTTTATTAAATACAATGTAGGGTATTGGGATTTTATTATTTAATAAAGCAAACGAGACATATCG